ACTTGTGGACGCCCTTAAGCTGTTCTTTAGTCATCCAGGAACAGAGGGCATCATTGTTATTGGTGAGATTGGTGGGGAGGCAGAACTCAGAGCTGCTGAAGCCATTAAGGACTACAGGAGAATCACGAGAAATCCAAAGCCAATCATAGCCATGGTTGCTGGTAAGACAGCCCCTGAAGGTAGAACCATGGGTCACGCCGGTGCACTTCTGCAATCAGGTGATATATCTGCTGAAGCCAAGGCGAAGGCTTTGGCAGATAGTGGAGCTATTGTAGTGCCACATCCTGGGGTCATGGGACAGGTTATGAACGAGTTGCTTTCGTTGTATACTAACAAAATCCCTGAACGATCGGGTCCATTAGGTCCCGAAATATCATTCTCTAACCTTGAACCGGAGCCACCAAGATGGCACTAAGGGAATATACAAGCTGATTTGTAACCTGCAAATTCTAAGAGGTTGGATAGTTGGTTTATACTGGCCATGGCTTCAGGTCTTCGTACTAAGCTGCCAGAGTGGAAATGTTGCCAGACAGAGTATGGGTATTAAGCAATTACATCAATAACATATATGCTAGTAATAGGAAGTTAGTTCTAAGAAACTTAGTTGATTACTTCCATGAGATAGCAAAATACAGTTTATATAAAACCAAGGCCAAGTCACAAGGACTTGGAAAGCTGGACGGCCTTCTTTGCTGCCTCTCCAAACTCGGATTCAACATAGAATCCAAGATTCGCATCCTCCAGCTAGTAGAATATTAGCAAAGAACCTGCAAGCAGATAATAAAAACAAACAATTTTCAATCCTTCAGGTGAATTGGTCCCCTGCAACCGAACAACAAGCGGCACACGCAATGGTCCGAGCTCTTTGGTAGCACCAATAATGGATTCAGCGATCATATCACATTTAATAATACCTGGAACATGTCAGCTCGCGCAGAATCAGCATTAAGATGTAACATCTCTCCCTTACCTCCATAGATATTAACGAGAATTACCTTGACCCGAGTGTCCCGAAGAATAATCTCAAATGCCTTTTGCATGGTGTTCTTCGTAGCCTGACCTCCTGCGTCGAGAAAGTTTGCGCTTGCACCGCCGTGATGGGCAATCGCGTCATTAGTAGCCATAGCAAGACCTGCACCATTGACTACATTGCCAATATTCCCTTCCATCTTGATATATACCAACCCATACTTTTGTGCCTCAATCTCCTCGGGAACCTCTGCTTGGATATCTCGCTGGGCGAACAGCTCGGGCTGCCGTCGCTGCGAAGCATCGTCAATCATGAATTTGGCGTCAAGACACTTGAAATTAGCTTCACCGGTGCGGGCTAGAGGGTTGATCTCCAGAAGTGTGGCGTCTTTGCACAAAAAGAGGTCCCAAAGACGGGTCAGGATAGCTCCAAGTTTTTCTGCTTCGGCAGAATTCGCACCAACACCTGTACGGAGACGTTTCAGAAGATCTGGTGTGATGCCTTCAGCGTAATCGAAATGAAAGCTTCTCAAGCTACCGCTCTCGCTCTTTGCCGTGTCTTCAATGTCGACACCGCCACTTCTTGAGATAAGCACAACTGGGGAGTACCGTTCGCGGTCGAGGGCTATGGCGAGATACCACTCCTCCTCGCATTCTTCGAACTCTGCCACCAGCACCTTTTCGACAAGTATCCCTTCTCCTGACGTCTGCTTGGTTTTAAGGCGATGTCCCAGCATCTGAGAGGATATCTGCTCGCCTTCTTCCGGGAGCTCTGCGATTCTGACGCCGCCGTAGAATCCATTGTCGAATGTTCCCTTGCCTCTGCCGCCCTTGAGAATTTGAGATTTGATGACGCATTTTCCACCTGCAAGACTGGTAGTCAGCATACCAGATTGGTTGATACCATGCTAAGAAAGGAGATAACTTTACCATATTGACGCATGACCTCCCGCACCTCGGCAGCCGTGGTTGCTACTTTTCCATTCTGCACTGGGATGCCAAACTTAGTAGATCAGCCTTTTTATCACAATCCTTTCTAGACAAGGAATGTCGTAAACCTACCTCTCTTAACAGTTGTTTAGATTGATGCTCTTGCAGACTAAGACCTCGGCGCTGATGTTTCATAGGGAACTGAGGAAGGTCAGCGAATTATAAATACCTTACATTACCGCCATGGATTCTCACTTTGGGCTGCCAAAGCTTTCGTGTAATGTGTCGTGCTGCCATTGTGAGAAAGAATGAGAATGTGGTTGAGTCGGGTCTCAGTAAATCGATTCCGCGAGCGACACGAATGTTGTGACGAGAAGTGACCTTGCGGAAGTTTATGCTCCAAGAGGTTCAAGTCGCCATTACTCATGAATGACGCGGGCGGACGGAGGGAACTCTTATGGCTTGCAACCCCTCCAATAGCGGATAAATTGTGGATAACATAAAAAGCTACAGTAGCCCGTCGGCTATACCGGCTCCAAGCTTCTTACCCCCGCAAACTTAAACATAGCCCTGGTAAATAGCCGACCGATTATTACTTAAGTACAAGGACACAAATTCAAGACTTTAAAGGCCACTAGTTTGGACGATAGAGCGGAGCTTGCGCTCATCGACCGCTGAGCTGCTCAATGCTTGCCCTTTATGTATCCCTAAGTGGAAGGCCTGCTCCGATAATAAAGGCATACACAATAGAGATGTGAGAATATCGCAATGCGCATATTCAAACGTCTGATCCCAACCTGTTCGCCGCATCCAATTTGTTAACACTGCCGGCGTAGTTGAATCATCACTAGTCGTCGCTTATGTATCAGGCTGTAACCCAAGACGCTTGCGCTCTTCTAGGAGCATCTGGTCTGCAAATAATTGGATTGAGCTTGGAGTTGCTTGAAGGGGTCTGCTGCGTCGCGCCTTTTCTGGGGCTGACTTGGAAGACACGATCCAGGACCGCTTGATATCTTCCGATCTCTAGTTTTGAAACTCTAAATTATCGATGATATGATCACGAAACCAGTATTTTCTTTCGCGCTTTGTAGCTGCGATTTCATACTTATGGTAGCTCCTGACGTGCTGTTTGAAGACGTCCTTGCTTGTTGATCGCAGTCCACAATGCCTACAAGCGGCTCCCTGTTGTTTTTGTAGATGAGGGTGAGGAGCTGAGATATCTGGCCGCTGGGGAAGGCTTTCACGATTAGGATGTTGAAGGGAATTGACTAGGAAATTTATCTTTCGACACTTATGCGTAGGAACCTGATGCTCTTTTCCCAGATGACGCCCAACGCGGTCGCCATCTACAGCGAGGGCGTAGCCGCAAAGCCTACAGATAATCGCGGGTTCGGGTAAATTGAAGTGAAGATGTAGCTCTTGCAGCCTGGAATATTAGTTGGCTTATTTGGGAGTGGATCTATGTATCACGTAAAGGTTGAGGTCGGCCCTTTGAAAAGTGTCGAGAAGCGATTATGATGGACCTTCGATAAGTAGGTTGAAGTCTACATGGCTGGCACGGACTGATGCGACGCGAAATGGGGCCCGTTTTGCAATGCGTGTAAAAAGCTGTTTTGAAATCTTAAGCCCCTGTTGAAAATCTATGATCGCTGATTGGTCTAAAACTAGAAACACGCCCCGTTTCTGTCTTTAATACTTGAGGAGGCTGTTGAAACATTCTGTAGATAATTTAGCCGAGGAGAGTAGTGCAGCATGTGTTTGAACTTCATTGGTGTAGACGACCGGGGGGTTGAAAATGAGGCTTCGCCCAATCTGCTGGTCTCACTTAAGACGAAAGTCGAATTACTATCCGTTGGTTGCGATTGTCACGAATTATTTCGCAAGTCACAAAGAAATTATGAACTCCCGTGTTGGGACCGTTACAATCTTGAGAGCTCTGGCAGATTGAGTAGTATGTTATACTTTCTATCGCGATTCACCCAGAATGAACTGTACTCGGTGACTCCAGCCGTTGGTTACACAACATGGTGCAAGCTGAAATGCATGCTGACACAGCTGCAGTGAAGCGTAGTTCAGTCCCAGGCCCCGTAACACTCGCTAGGCGTTTTCGCATCATCCGATCTCCTCAACACTCCCACTGTGCTGATCGATGTTTCCCTTCCCATAAACCCCTCATGAACAATTTTCTCGGCTGGTAGCATCAACTGCAAGATGGCAGAGCCGGTCGGTATAACCGGCACCGCTGTCGGAATAGTTTCCTTTGGTCTGCAGCTATATACTGGAATCTCCAAGTATCTCGATGCTGTCAAGGGACGAGACGAAGATCTCCAACAGGCGAAGCAACATGCGAATATCTTCCAAGCATCTTTGAAGGCAATTGGTGAGATGATTCCCAAAGTCAAAGATGATTATGCGACGGCAAAACATGTCGTTGAAGAATGTAAACGCTCATGTGAAGCTGAGCTCAAAGCTCTCGAGGCGCTTCTCAAAGACTTGCAAGGGCCGCTCGGTCTACTGGATGGCCCCATCGCCAAGGTAAAAGGGTCTATGCGCAAATGGAGTTACCCTTTCAAAAAGAATAATATCACCAGGCTGGAGGAGAGGTTAGAATCAATGAACAGTTTTCTTAAGACGACCTTGTCGACTTTGCAGCTGTGAGTAACCCCCTTCTAGTCAGCTTGAACTTGATGACTGACCTTTGACCTTACTTCAGGGCCATTTTGGATGAACAGGACAAGGCTATTCTGAAGTTACAGAAGACTGTTGATACCATCCAAACGACAACCGAAAGCACCTCTAGAGTGATGTTACAACAGTCAGGGGCCTTGCAGCATGTAAATCAGACCTTGACTCAAGCTCATCAGGAGATTCAGCTTATATCTCAACGAGCTTCCGCTCATTCTGATCCAAGGATTGACGAAATTCTCACTCACCTACGCGATACCCCGGACACTCGGCTTCAATTCGCGCACCTGGTGGCATATCAACAAGATCTTAAGACTTTATGCGATGCTGTACTTCGGGCTCAAAGTCGAACGACAGTGCATAGCTTCAGGAAGCCCAATACCAATAGTGTTTTAAGCACCAGTAGGCAAGAGTTTTGTCGCTGTACCAAGCGTCGAGACTTGCGGCGCAATGAGGGCCGTTTTGGTTTGCTGTTCTTCGAAACAGAGCTCGAAAAGACAATTCACCATGCCCCAGAATGTCCCTTATCGCAGGTAGTATCATCGACCCAACAGAAGAGGAGTGTCATTGGTCTTTCTATTCCGAGAATAGCTAGAATCTTGAAAAGCGCTGTTCGTTTCTCAATGTCTCTTACAACTGGTGCTGGTGGATTAAGTTTGGCTCAGAATATTATCTGGGTTGCAACAGTGGATGAAAAGTCTTCTCCATCATTCAAAATAGTCAGCACCTTTGTCGACCTCAAGATGAGGTCACCTCCATCACGTTTTGTTGTCGAGGACTTTCACACAATTGCGAAATCCTGTATGAGGCGACTCGAGCTATGTTACGCCAACCGTCAGGCGTCGCGATCCGATGTGAACGAATATGGCGAATCAGTACTTGACTTATTCGCTTGGGAATTGTCTAGGAAGGCAAGTATTTGGGTTTTTGCTGGTCCTTTACATGCTAACTGTGGGTTTTCACAGCCGTGGGAACGATATGTCGAGCCAGTAGATGATGTCGCATATATCTTCCGTTCTCTTGCTGCTATAAAAGTGCCGGTTATCCACAACACTACTAGAGGGTACGTTTATGAAATAGCGTCTTGTATATCTACACCAGTTTAACTGTATTACTAACTGGCTATAGTAACAGTCAACCGTTTCTATCATTGGTCGCGGAGAACTATTGGTTGATTTACAATATGAGAGTCCCTGAAACTATATCAGCACTCCTAACCTGCTGTGACAATTTGATAAATTATAACTACAACAGTGTCATAGACTTGCCGTCTCATAAGCTATATATGCTTAAAGAATTTCCCGAAGTCTCCCAAAGTAAGGAACTAAGAACTATAAATTCATTGGCTACTTATACTGAAATACACTAATTTGTAATAGATCTCGGTTTCAACCTGTTGAGCATAGCAATTATAAGAGGCAATGAACAAGAAGTAGGCTGCTTGTTGAAAAACTTCCCATCGTACCAACTGGAAGTCAACTATTGTGGTCAAACACCAATCCATATTGCCATTCAGATTGGAAATCCTCGGCTTGCTCTGCTTGTTTTAGAAGATATCAATTCTGAGGCTTTGAATATCGCGGACAACATGCAGAACTACCCAATAGACTATGCTTTTGCCATCCACGAGCAGAAAGATATTGAACAGCCCTGCGATACCTGCAGGTTGGTGGAGAGACTTCTTGAATTAGGCTCTGTGCTATTCGAACGCTCTTTGAGAGTTGGATTGAACACTCCATGTCAGCGAACCAGGATGGCCATTGTCCAACACATTGCGCGAAGAAGAAGGGAATTGGAGCAGCTAGCTGTATCCAAGCTATCTGCGGCAGAGGTCAGAGACCTTGACGTTTGCAGAGGGTGGATTCTGGACCAATATGCCACCCAAGCCCAATACTATCTCACAGCTCGATCTGTCGATATACCAAAGCATCTCATGGTGTGCGAGCGAAACCTCCTGACTGAATTCTTGAAGAGCTCTACTTCAATATTTGCATACATAACGGACAGGGAGACGGCCGTGTATGCTCACTCACTGGGTTTCAGCAGGAAGACTGCTTTTCTTGTTCTTTTCCACCGCATGATGTGGAGCATCGCCTATAGAAAGCACCTGAACTTCTCACCACCGTACATCTACTGGACAATAAATGATGGGTCCAGTGAAGGTGCAGACATTGCGGCTGTAGTCCCATCAAATTTCGTCTCTGGGGTAGTTGCACCTGCAACGTGGGCCCATTATCTTATGAAAATACTGGGTGCTGAGACGAGACGTGACACGAGACGTGACGATATGCGAGATGGTGTCTTTCCGCCGTCGGTAGCGGATGTCACCATGTCTGAGGCTCTAGGCGACAAATGCCAATGCCATTGCTCTTTACAAGGTTGCACTCCTTTAATGAGATTCTTGGAAGGATTTGGATTACGCCGTGGCTACTTTCGATACTCATTTGTTCTTGAGTCAGATGTAATGTCACTGCCGCGCATCCTCGAAGCTCTACTCCCCGATAGAGACATCGCCCAAAGCTGGGTACCTTCTGCCGTTGTACGCTATTTGACATTCTCTGCTTTGGAACTCCGACATACGTGTTGTGACTTAAGGACGAATGGTCAAGATTCTGTTCTGGACCCTGAGGAGGTTGACGAAATCCACGAGGAGGATTCTGCTATGTTACAACGTCTAGAAGATCTCGTTGATCATTTCGATATTGAATGCGATAGCATGACCGACTTCAGTTCGTTTCTGGGATACGTTTGGCTGCCGAAGATGCGAGAAGTGTGTCAGGAGATTGAATCTCAAGAACTTACAGAGAAAGAGTTGAAACAAGCAGAAGATTGTGGCGTGAAATGGACATCTTGTGAGAGTGACGTGTCTTGGATGGAAGGTGACTACGGACCCGAGGATCTTGAAGGCTGGATGAGAAGATTAGACGAGATTGCCATAGATCCCCAGAGACCTATGCTTGGCGATCCTGAGTCTTCGAATTCCAGGACAGAAGCTGAGTTCTGGTTATAATGGCGAGAACTAGTTCAGGAAGTGGTAACTATGACTGAGCCCCGAGTGATTAGTCAGATGCTATGATACATAACGACAGAAATTGTAGATGCTTGAATGTATCATGCTAAACTACTATACCCCATCTCTCAGGTTACGAACGTAAACGACAGACCACTAACCCAAATCTCACTCTCCCAACAACTTAACAGAAGGTACAACCAATTGACCAAAGAACTAGTCCTAGAACCACCAATACAAGTAGTAGATGTAGTGAGAAGCTTGTCTCGTTGAACTTGATGCAGGTGACTGACCTTAGAATCCATGGAATTCTTAACGTGTGCCATGAATGACTGCGCACTTTATTAACTCCTATCTATATGCCTAGTTTAAGGTACAATTGTACATAGGGTAGATTACTGATTTGGAAGTACCTATGTAGTCCTTATGAATATAAAAGGTACATATATATATACCATTAGGGAAAGTATAATCGGCAATATTAGCACTATTTAAGCCAGTTTATTATTAGTTATAGCATCTCTAGCTAGTGCCAGGGTGCAGTAAGATGCCTGTCTGTTTAGAGTAGCTGCTGTCTTTGTAGTAGTTAACCTTTAATTCAGCAGCTGAGGCAGCTGTAAGAAGTGTTGAAAAGATGAAGGATGAGATATGTATGGTTGTGAAGGGATGTGATACAGATGCCGTAGACCAGGTATGGGTTTTTAGTGGTAGAGAGCAGCTGGATTGAATATTGAAGATTGAGATAGAACTCGCGGCCTGTTTACAAGAGGGAGTCTCATCCAATATATAGATAAATGACGAGCAATTATCTGCCCGCTCCAGGTCGCATCAAGCCCAAATAACAAGTCAGCTTACTATTCTTTATTAGAAGTCCCTTATTGCACCAGTCAAGACAAGTTTCAGGTGAAGTGCTTAAAGTAGCAAATATAGGGTTATATATTACATAGCCAGTATAACAGGCTTCTGCTTATCATTTATGCAATCTGCTCACAGCGGTCCATTACAGCATCCACAGCAGCAATAAGAGCAGCAATTCTAGTTTCACTATCTACAGAGCTTATTATCTGCTCTTCAGACCGGAGATAACCAGGTAGGTTCCTTTTCGCTTTTAGTACCATGCTTTAACATAAGCTTACAAGAGAGGGTATAGTGATTAGATTTCTGAGCAATTCTCGATCAACTCCCTGGAAGGTTTTCTCCTAGCCGGTTCGCTCTAGCCAGTGCTTGAGATCTGTGAAACTCGTGCTTTGTGTGTTCCTGTCTATGCCAGTTCTATCTGCTGGGTTGATTTCTTTTAATAGTCTTTGCCTGCCTTGCTTATGCTTAAAGATGTCCTTAAGATGGTCGTGAGCTTCCTTGCTACTGACCGGTCTAACTGTGGAACTGGCATATTCGATAATCTAGTAATGCCCCCTTAAGGGACTTTGGTCTATGCTTGCAGGAACGCAGATTCGTATATGGCCTTTAATTGAACCCCTAACTGAAGCCTTTTCTCTGTATAATTTGAGGCTATGTGATGGGAAATGACTTAATAGCTGCCTGTGTATTTGATATAGAACCTGAATATAAGCCTATGAATAAGATTTAGGTTCGGATTGCAAGGTGAGCTATCTTCTCTGATTAAGGCATTAGATAGATCTCTTAGTTTTTAAATAAGAGCTTTTAAAATATTGATGACTTGGCGGCGCTTGGTAGTAGTTATATTGTGCTTCCTTTGGAGATGCTTGCTGACTTGAGCCGGACTAGGCGCGAGGGCGGAACGGCATGTGTTATGACAGCAAATTAGCACCTGAGCTTGAGGGTCGATAGATAGCCTGAGTCGTGAGAACACTGCATCATCGGCCATTATGTTCTCTGAGTCTGGTGTTCGACCGGCACCGCTATTCAATTAATAGAATGGCCAGGAGATTGTCATACTAATTGCGCAAATGGATACCAGGATGCGTTTTTAAGTCTGATAGAACGATCAGAAAAGGGGTCACGACGACTGATTTTCCAAATGACAGTCATTATGATAAAGTTTTCAGCCGCACCCTTTACTACCTAAAGGATGTTTACTATTTGCGGCAACAGAGAATCAGCGTCTACAACCCAGGAGCAGGGGATGCAAAAATAGAGGTGCACGGGCCACAACAACTGGGTAATGGTTGTCATTACCAGTGGTAATTGGTACAGTAGGCTGCGGAGGTCGGTCGTGCGGGGGAAAATCGAGGGCGCAGAGCCCGAAATGTCGCAAGCTCGCGAAGCCGAAATGTCGAGGTAGAAAGAAGACGCAGATAACACATAGTAAACAGCGCCCGGAGGCGATGTCAAGAGCTTGCGAAGCTCAGTGTCGTTGAAGACACTCTTCACGAAGAAAGGCCAACTCTCTGAGTCCCTTTCTTCTGGCCCCGTTAGCCCCACAGCTGCCTTTGCTGCCATTTTGGCCTGCAAAAGTTTTCTGCCCTAGCAGAACGCTAACAGCGGATGCCAAGGAAAACTTTTACAGGAGAGTTGTTTTTAACTATTTATTAAAATTTTAAATATTCTTTAGCCGCACAGTATGGTGTTTCGCTCGCTTATTGTGTATGTTAGATGTAATTATATATATTTAAAATTGCTTCAAGACATGATTCAAATGAAAATCCATTGAACGCTCGCTTCTCCGACGATCTCGTATATGTCTTACTACCCGATCCTGTTCATGACCACGGCCCGAAGCAGAGAATTCAACTAAATTTCGCAACTGCTCCAGCTAAATCAGATGCGCTTTTTAAAGGCTTGCCAGTAACTTGGGACGAAACACTGCTTGTATGACGAATTATAGATTGGTAACGTTGCAAGCGATGGCCATTCGCGTGATTGTCATTGGTTCATGCCTTCTAAGCTAGCCCAAGTGGCTTTTCCTCATCGATACCCCGCCCATTTGAGGGTATGACGATATGCTCCTGAACATCGACAACCGGCATTCATGGTGAATTGTTATCACATTTGCTATGTTATAACTCACTCAGTTCACCCTCCTGGTTGAATGAGACGATACCGAGCGGGCGTTGTGGCCTAGCTCAACACGTCGCTTAGCAATTACCACCCTGTCTCGATGCTCATCCAATCCGGCTTGAGGGCAGCGCAGCCATCGATAGCACTCGGCACACTTGGCCCCGGGGACCATCCAAATACCTCACCTTTCTTTGGCACATCCTGATGATGATACCAAGAAGTGATAGTCCCCAGGCCCGAGAAGCCCCTCTCACTGGACCAAACGCCTTTGTGATTGCTTGTTTCTTGGCTATTGCGATGTACAATTTCATCGAACTCAACTACAGTATCTTGATCACCTTCAAGAGATGGGGTGGGCTGTATTTCTGGAGCTTTGTCGCCGCCACATGGGGTATATTGCCATACACTATCGGTTTCATCCTCAAGGACTTTCGGCCGGAGACCAATCCGTACATATACGTCACACTGATAGTCGTGGGATGGTGGCCGATGGTAACGGGGAAGTCTATGGTCCTATACTCGCGACTACACCTTGTCCTGCGGCATCCGAGGATTCTTCGGGCTGTTCTTATTGCAATCTATGTCGACGCGGTTATTTGTTACGTACCGACGACCATTCTGGTTTACGGCTCTAATTCATCTAACCCAGGCCCTTTCGTTAACCCATATTCAATATGGGAAAAGGTCCAAGTGACAATCTTCTTCCTTCAAGAATTGGTCATATCGGGCCTTTATATTCTCGCAACAACAAAGTTACTGCGAGTCACCGCTATCACCGGACGCGATGGGCATAGGGACGTGATGCGACATCTGATTGGCGTGAGCATTTTGGTTGTTATCCTCGACATAACCATCCTTGCATTGGAGTATGCCAATCTCTACAGCCTCCAGACCAGCTACAAAGCTTTTGCATATAGCGTCAAACTCAAGCTGGAGTTCAGTATCCTGAACCGTTTGGTCGCTGTTATGCAAGGACGGAGAGGTAGCTCTTCCACCGGAGCCGCGAGAGCCAGTTCTTCTACCGGAGTTCCGAGTTCAAGTACATGACATGAATTTCTATTGTAATAACTGGTGACTCAGTACGGGGGCGATTCGAATCTTGGAAGAGATTAACATATACTGACTCAAACTAGACACTAAATCTATAATAAAACTTATAAGTATAAAATATATATATATATTAGGGTCTCTAAGTTTATTTTACTTATATATTAATAAGTTTTTATTCCTTATTATTTAGCAAGTTATTAATCTTGCTATTGGCTATAAGTATTATAGCTAATTAGATTTTAACAGTTAGTATATCTATCCATTTTCAGAAGCCTAGAGCTAGTAACTTATAAAGAGCCTAGCGCATTACTCTGAAGAGCTAAGCTAAAAGGGAGGGAGACTTATTAATTGCCTATAAAAGGTAGTTAAAATAAAATAAAAGTAGGAGATTAGAAGCATAAGTATATATAAATAAAAAGTAAATAAATAACACAGGTTATTCTTATTAAGCCTTATTACTATATTAATATATATAGATAGAAAGTATAGATTTTAAAGGTAATTTTTAAGAAAATATTAGAAAACCCCAGGGTTATTAAGGTTAGTATAGATAAAAATGATATAATACAGCAGGATTTAATTTAACCTTTGTATAGTAGGATTCTTTTACAGGCAGTTCTCTGGCCAATTTACCAAGAAGAAAACCGCGACTTACTTGCAATTGGAAAGACTGCAAACATAAAGCTGCCACTACAGAGGAACATTTGTAAGTGGTCACCCTTATACCATCGTCATTGTCAAGGATCTTAGTAGATATAATAAAACCCATGCTGATAGCTCACGTTGTCTGTTCTCAGGCAGCATCTGCGCCACCACAGAATGTGTCCTAAGGAAGACTGTACTTGGGAAAAGGCAAGTGCGGAAAAGGAAAAATAGCGCCATGTATGGAATACGCATAAATTGTAGGCGGAGCAAACTAATTATCCACCCATGAGCGGGATGTGCCATAGTTGTGGCAAGACATTCACGAGAAAGGACAATTTGAAACGTCATGTAGATGAGAATTATAAAGGCCAGATGCGAGGAGGAGCTACTGCCTGATTCACAGTTCCTATGTACAGAAAACTAACAGCTCTGTCCCTATCGTGTTCTCTTGGCACATCCATACGTGCAATAAACCTGGGATCGGGGTTTAAGGGGCCTGTTATTGTGCTTATCTCAAAATTCAAAGGTCATGAGAGGCTGTATAAACAAATTAGAAGATCTATTAACTTAGTGCAGTGTCTAAATCTGCTCAACCAAATAATATTTATCTGGAATTTCAGATGTAAAATCCTTAAGTTAATATTCATCGAGGATCTTTTCTCTTCTAATTATCGCCAGATATTTTCTACCAAGTTTCTTATGGCTAAAAGAATAATCGACGCTGAACTTGCTTTTTAAGAGGCATATTTCCCAAGAGGTAACGCAATAAATGCATATCAAACATTCCCGATGTTGTGATCCAAATGTTGTTACCTATAACCTCTGTAAACCTACGTTGCACGCCAAATAAAGCTGTAGCCTTGTTTATCTGGTCGATTATATATAGAATATGCCCTCTAGAGTAACCTATGATTACTTCCAACTTGGGGTGGCCGTCAAATGTTTTGCTGGACAGTAGGCGCAGGCCTGTGGTCACGGTGCTGGCATGCTATCAGATCGCATTACTCTTCCATATCCATTTGGTTCAGTGGGATACAATTGACGCCTAGAAGACCTTTGGCCTCAGCATCAGCTTCCCGTGACATGTTCTCCTTCTCTACAGTCGTCTTTCTCGCCAGACCATTCAACTCGTAAACCAAGACAGCCCTTGTAAATAAAGCCGCGAAGACAAAGGTGTAGATGACCGGCAAAGAGTCTGCCAAAGGGATAAGAACAATGCTACCGATGAGAACAGTGCCAAGAATGATATGAAGACCTCCAATCACTCTGACAGCAGTCCCAAGAAGGTTCTGTTGAAACCGTCTGTTGTCTCGACGCCTGATTGTAAGGTTTCGGCCTTGGCCACAAGGAGTCAGCTCGCCAACGATCAAGCTAACAAGATTGCTTCTTGGTGCCGTCCGGCGGAAGGTCAAGGCGAAGACGCCAAAGCTTAGCAGGTAGATTGGTATGTTCAGAAAGGCCCAACCAAACAGTATAGATGTCTCTGGCAAGCCGTAAATGTAGACGACCATCGGGGCGAGGGATATAGCCTGATACGTGAACCTATAGACTTCCCAGAACAAGTTTCCCGTCGCGGCCAACCCGATGCCATATTCAACAAGAGACACAAGAACCTTTGCAGCGAAGGAGCGTCCATCTAAAATGCGTAGGGGCACAAGGGGCTCGTTGTTGTTAGAGGCTTTCTCCAATATGGCCTCGTAATCAAACTCGTTAGGGTTTGGTGACATTAGTCCAAAGCCTAGGAGCATGGCAAGGATTGGTCTGCGGGTGCTCAGGAGGCTTATCTCAGCCATGCTAGGTCCAAACTGTACCAGGCCTCCGGGAAGAAGCGCTAGCAGGATAGCTGTGACGGCCATGTTTGCTTTATTGACCTCTCCATAGACATTGAGAATACAGTTCATCAAGTCGCTTGAGTACACGTGAGCACCACCTTCATCCTTTAGGTTCTCATCGAAATAGGCCTCGAACTCTTTAGGGCAATCTTCCTTCATCCAATGTTCTTGGGAGTATTTTTCTATTGTGGGAAACCATGACCGGAACTGGGAGCGAGACCGGTCGAGAACCGCGGAGACGGTAGATATGTACAGCCCATGAGCTGCCAGAAGGCATATCACTCGCGAGAGACGCATTGTATAGTAGATTGGCGAAGGTCGTTATGTAGTTATAAAATGCCAAATTATTGGTCCAAGGACGAGGGAAATGTTATGTGCGAGAGAGCGGGGTTCTCGCCCAGAGAAATAGTCAGCGCTTTTGAAGTCCTGTCCTAGCAAGTGCGGTAATTATTGAGTAAGAGCTGAAAACAATCTGCACCACATGCTCACCTCCTTCCAATTAAGAGGGTCAATGTTGTTGCTAGACCCAGTTGACGCAGGGGTATGAATCCTGAAAGACAGGGGTTAACTTGGGGGCCGAAAATGGGAGCAATAAGGATTGAGCACCAGCGGCTACAGCACCCGTTTCGCTAGAAGCTTGTCACATCGGATCAGGTAAGGAGCACGAACCGATTAGTGGTTGTAGAAAACCTGCTAAAATGGATGTTGTCTGTAGCCCTTGCGTTCTCTGCCCAAAGTCAGCCGAGTGCGCATCGCCAGCAAGTTACTGCAGTCGCCTTTGTTGCGTCATGATGGAAACAGAAAACATTTAAGTATTATCATATTAACTCAATCCTAACACCACTCTCCCAAGTTATCCCAGCTAGCAAGAAATGTGGCCCAATAAACACCGATTATACCAAGCGCTGTAAATCCCATTGGCTCTATGCCAATACTCTTCCAAGCATCGTGTATTCTCATTCCAAACCTGCTGATACGCAAGCGAATATGCAAGCGAATATACCAGAACAATAACAGACACTCTCAGTTATCCGTCTCATAAGAAGATCGGGGAGTTGATGAGGTCGAGTGGACTGTCTTTGCGACAGTGCGAGGAGAAAGTGATGATGGTTGAGGATAGTAGGCATTGACTGCGGCATGCACAGATTGGTGATGCTCTTTGGCGTGACGAACGACAGCGGCCCAGATCTTCCGAGCGTTGTTCTTGGTAGACTCCATTGTGATATTGAGTTGAGGTGGTAGTATAAGTGGGGTAGCTGGTAGTAGAAAAGATGTACTCGGGTAGGGTCTAGAGACCGACCCCCCGTGCTTTCCTTTCTACCGTAGGTGCCCGTGCGTCAAGCACAGGGGGTAGGCTGACTAGGGAAAGGGGCGGGTAACTGGGGAATAAATTAGATACCTTATTTTTATATATAGCCCCACCAAAAAAATAAGTCACTCCTTTAGTTAAATTATCCCTCTTTACTATACTAATAATGCCCGCAATATATCATTACCCCTCACAAACATCGCAACGAAATTACCACTTAACATCCTTAACACCAATAAGGTAATTACTTTATTTAGTTATAATAATTGCAATTTCTATTTAATTAAGACGATAGATATATTAATTAAAAGCCCTAAACCGGCTCTTACTGCAGTACAAAAATATATCAATTCTAACACCAGAAACCCTAATATCTTGCGATATATAGCTCATAACCTTGAGACGTATACTATCGCGGCTATTAAGCTTTTAAGGGAAGGATATTACTCCTTAGCTATTAAAGCTACTAAGGCATAGAGGGTACTATATAAAAGGTTACTTTCTTAATAAAAAGGAAAATATCCTATCTCTTAAAATGGCAGTAACTTCATGCTTTTTTCGCCGGAAGAAGAGAAGGCGATCCTCGCTTAGTGCTAGCGCTGCATCACTTAGGGATATTATATATAGATGCGTACTCTTTAATAATATGCTAATTTAATTCTAAAAGCAACTAACTAACTTCTAATAGCTTCTAGATACTAGGCAAGATGTTTTCTAAGAAGATATTCCTCTATTCTTTATAAAAAGAAGAGTTTAACTATTGCAGTGTAAAGAAAGGCAATGGCAGACCGAGCTAACATCGAAGAGTAGTTTTGTAAGTAGCATGATTACGCGGAAAAAGGCATAGATTATGAGGATGTATAGAACATCGATAAGACAGGCTTCTAGATCGGTTATCTTAAAAATGGGATATTCCTGTAGACTTTTAGGGAAATCGATAAGCCTATCTTAACTAATGCATATAAGATAATAAGCATTATGATTATTAAGTCTATATTAGCAAAAGGACGGGTTATTCTATTGTTTATTATTATGCCAGGCGTACAGCTGCTATCTCGGTGGGTTGATAACCGCCTTAAACCGGGCATAATAATCGTTATAACACCAAATAGCTATATTGATAATATCTCTGCGCTAGAATTCTTCAACCACTTTAAATGGCTTTCCCGGACTTCTTTAAGTCTAGGAAAAAGAATACTATTACTAGATAGTTATAAGAATTATTTTACTAAAGAGCTTTTCTAAAAAGCCTAAGATATAGGCGTAATGTTATTCCCTTTCCTGCCTTACTTAATATATATCCTTTAACTGCTAGATATAGGGCTATTCTGTATATATAAGCATTAGTATTAGGAAATCCTTCTTTATAAGATTGCAGATAGCGCTATAGACTTTAATAAAGCTAACTTTTTATTCTATTTACAGGAGGTACGCGCCTATACTACTAAGAGAAGCACTATTATCTTATCTTAGCAAAAGACCGGCATCTATCCCTTTAATCCTAAGGTTATACTAGCCCGTATAATAAATCCCTTATTATTACTATCTTTAGAGGTAGCTAAAGAGTTATTACCTGGCTATATCTTACAAGGGTCCTCTTCCACCTATAGCAGCGATAGCAACTCCAAAATAAGTAAGGAAGACGGCATTACGCCGCCTTATGAGATATACCATTCGAATCGTCACGACTAGGAGATTCGATTAATATCAACGCCACCCCCGTGCGTCAACTAGATCGAAATAAACACGCCGGAGCTCAAGTTACGGCAGATCTATCAGTACAAGGAATATATGGCCCTCAGGATCGAATGCTCAATAACCTTAGGCACGCCTCTGACTCCCTTAGTATTATATGTCAATAAGAAGCTGCAGAAAGCATATACAACTCTCGCAGTTAATGGGATTACTGCGACTTAGGAAATGCGCTATCTTAAGGAGAAGAACCTTAGAAGGTCTGCCCGGGATTAGGGGACCACCATACTGGCAAATTACAGGCCAATTACTATATATAATGCCAGACTTCGCGTTGTAAAGGATTAGCATAACCGGCTGGCCGGTCAGGCGGCTAAAGAAGCTTATATATATACTAAAGAAGTTAGGGTTGAAGTTAGGTATTTATAACGATGGATTGCAGCAGTTAGGAAGATGCTTAGGGCTTCTTTAAAGGATTTACGGGTTGCTAATCTATATAGCAGCCAGCTAACTTATTCTTAGAAAAGGAAGCTATTTACAGTAGCCGAATTTTATATAAAAAAACAACATTAAGATTATATACAGTTAACGGCGGTAATAGGGTCAAGATACTAGCTTCACCGCAAGCTTCTAGCTAAAAGCAAAGATTCTAAGGTAAAAGTAATTAATATAAAGAAATTAGAAAGTCAGGAAGCCCCTAAAGTATTTATCTTTTACTAGAATCCCTAATTCCTTCTTCTATTTAACTATAACTTTAATATTATAAAGGAGGCATTAGAATTTATTATTAGTAATAAGGAAAAACGCTACTCTAATTAGAAGAAGATATTATTAGAAGCTAATGGCTTAAAAATCGTTAAAGATAATAAGGAAATAGATAAAGATAATAAATATAATAATAATAATAAAGAAATAGTTATTAGGGATACTATTAAAGTCAGTTAGGGCAAGTTCATTATCCTAAAGGATAAAGAAAATACTAAATAGTCATAATAGTTACTTGGTGTTTTGACAATATGCATTTTTGGTAGGGGTTGTAAATGGAGGGGTTAGTCCGGTTATAATTATATAGTTATCCATGGCAAAGGAAGTATATCTAATTTAGTGGGGCGCACATATAAAAATAAGGTAGCTTAATTTCCCTAGTCAACCGACCCTTTTCCTAGTCACCATACCCCCCGTGCCTGACCCTTAGGCTCTACGTGTGGAATGGGTTAGGCTAAGGGGGGCCGGTCTCAAGGCCCTACCCGAGTAGTCCTATTATTTTTGTTACCGGATTGAAAGTGCTTAAAGATGTTTTGAGTAGTTATGTTGATTTACTGTTGTATTAATTGATAGTTTAAGATATTATTCCAAGGAGAAAACTATTTATTTATACTTATCGCAAATGTAGCTATACACGCCTATTAGAAATGTTGTCAATGTCATTTCTCAGCCCTTTGACATTATTCATCGATATCGTAATAATCGTATAAAATTTCTCTTTACGGCTGGCTTATCCCTTTAAGCGGTACAGCCCTTTAGGAGGTCACTCGCCCCACTTTGCTTAGTCATAAGGTTAGTATGTGCGGGGTACAGGAAGTTCGTGAGATATTTAATTTTTGCAAAATACTACTAAAAACTTATGCTAATTGATATCTATTAAAACGATGAATTCCCTACCGATTCTTGATGAAATACAAGTGAAGGAATATGACTTTGATGATCATAGCTTTCACACACATGCACAGCAAAGGAGCCTAGATCCCGCCGGAATAATAATTAACCCGCCTGAAGAAGCCGGCGGCCACAGCTTCATCCCTTTTAACGTAGAAGATCGTGACTTTCACATCAACATACTGCCCCCAATACCACTCGAGCTATTCCAGCTTTTTATACCTATATCCCTTATACAGTTATGGGTCTACTATAGTGAAAGCTGGGTCTCTTATCTTATATAAAATGGCGTTATTGATAGCTATAACTCGGCCATTTCTAACCACTTGCGGATTAATAAGTGGGACGGGCTCTCGGTTGCGCAAGT